CCAATCGTGATATCCATGAAGGGCGCTTTGAATCCGGAGGCTTTATCGGCCCAAGGACGTTATGCGCCGATGGGGCTCCGAATCTGGAGACTTAATTTGGCGAATCGTGATATCCACGAAAGGCGCTCCAAATCCGGAGGCTTTTGAACTAGATTGCAAAGTTAGTAAACAGGCGTCTTTGCATTATAGAAGTGGAAAGTGTACGTGGTGAGCCGCTCAGAACCAATATCATTCCCACAAGTCGGGTTTTATGATAGAACTCGTGCCTAATTCTCCATCAACCAGTCTTCTATCGTCCAAAAATACCTTTAGGAAAAACTTTATTGGCGTGCAGTAGCGCAGCTGGATGCGTTGATTAGACATCTTGAGAAGCAGCTACCGGTATCGCCTACAGCTTCCGTGGCTTCTTATCACGAAGCCGTCTGACTTCATCGAGACTCTTGATTTGACGCTTCAATGGAGTTGACCTGCTTCTCTGTTGGTGTCTTTCCAGAAAGGAGATAGCATGCTTGTGCGGATTGCCGGGAACCCCGGATTTGCTCAACGCCGTGTTCGGTCGGGAAGCGTAGCAACTGATGATAGGTGCTTGGTACGACCCGAATAGTATTGAATCAAGTCCGCCCTATAATGAGGTTATACAGCGAAGGGAGCTTGATGACCAGGAATTCCACTTCCACTGTTTGGGAGCCCGCCCGAACGGGTAACGTGATTTTCCCCAACGGATACTCCGGATTCGCGTTGAGGCCGAACAATGGATGAGGAGCCGGAGACAAGTCTGATTCGTTAAAGCCGAGTTTGATGAAGGTCTCATAGTACATGACCTCCGAAGTGCTCCCCTGGTCAATAAGGACGCGTTCAACGGTAAACCGGTTCACGTGTAGTTCAATAACCAATGGATCAATATGGGGAAGTGTTATGCCGATAAGATTGGAATCATCGAAGATAATGCTCGGTGCTTGGTGGGCCTGTTTCGTTTGTGCACGTTGCTCTTGGGGGGATGAATGGATTGTATGCACGGTACGTGGCGTTGGAAGATTGTATATCATATGTATAATGCCGAGGGGAGGTGACTCCTACCGAAGGGCGACAATTTTGATTGTGCTTTTCCGGACGTGTTGCTAGAGCCGACCATCTTGGACCAATTCCTCAAGGTGGTCTTTTAAGGCATAGCAGTTGTCCGTATCATGACCGTGATCTTTGTGATATTTACAATGTCTGTCCCGCCTTCTCGTGTCAGGAGATCCCACCATCTTGGACAGCCATTTGAAGAATGGAAGATGTTGGATCTTGGGCATAATTGAGCTGATTGGCTCTGACAACTCTGTATATTTCTTGTCGGCGCGCTTTGTGCGCGTGCTATCGACCTGCAGTTGCTCATTGGCTTGGTGTGGGCATCGATCGCTAGATCGGCAAGAATCCCGTCTCTTGTCTCGTTTAGCCCGCTGTCGTGGTTCAGGGCTTTGAGGTGATACGGAACTTATTGGCTAAGCGATTTCGGGAGGGGCCATTTTGTTGACCACGTGTCCGGCTTTAACCCGCAAGACATCGTCTTCCACTTTGCAGTATTCCTTTACTTTCTTCATCAACCCCCAAATTGTTTTGGGGGGTCTTCTAGTCAAGGAACTGCAGAGGGCACTATCTGGGTGTAGTCCCATTTTGAAGGCAGTGATGGCTATGGAGTCGTTGCAAGATCATCGACAAGGTTAAAGCATTTCCAATATCGCACCGAATAAGCTCTTAGTGTTTCTCCTGGCAGGATTTGCATTGCCCAAAGGGAGTCAACTTGCTTTGGCTGGACTTCGTTGGTAATGAATCTGGCCCTGAAGGATTTCTGCAGTTGGTGGAAGGTTTTGATCGAAGCCAGCTCCAGTTTATAATACCACCGGACCGCCAATGGTCCCAAACTGTTGGGAAATATTCGGCACATGAGGGCCTCGTCGTCTGTATGCAATGTCATGGCCTGCTTGTAGTGGCGGATGTGGTCGGTGGGGTCTGATTTGCCGTCGTACAGGATGAACGACGGTGGTTTAAATTTCTTTGGTAGCATATCCTTTGCGATCCATCGTACGAAGGGGTCGTGTTGGTCTTCGTCCGAACTTTTCCTTCTTCGTTTCTGCATTGTACGGGGACTTTCTTCGGAAGAACTGGTGGTTTCATGTCGTCCCTTCTTCCTGGGCTCCGGGGATAATGAGTCGGAGTCGCTATCAGTGTCTTGTCGTGCTCGAGGTTGTCGACCACCTGCCTTCGGAGATCATTCCGAATTTAGGCGCGCAGCTTGTTTGGACTTCGCCATTTCCAAGGCCAAATCTTCACGAAGACGTTCGCTTTCAGCGATCATGTTCTCCAGCCTCTGTTCATTTTGCTTTGCTTATTCCATGCTCGCCTGCATTGTCTCGTGCTCCGAAGTCGAGGGTGAGGCGAAATTCAAGGCACGTCGTGCGGCGATAGTTTCTGGTCCAAGCAAGTTTGTTGGGTAGTTTCATCGTGAGGTATAGGGTCGACAATGACTGTCAGAGGATCTTCCGTCACGCTCGCCATGGATGTGCTTGAGTATTCCCACAGACGGCACCAATTGTGGGTAAGTGGTTTGGAAATACTTTTCGGGATCCTGGGGAACGCTCGTGATCCTCTTCTGGTCACCTGAAAAAGAATAAACACTCCGGTCGACGGTGCCGGAATTAGCACTCCGACGAGCAAGTTAGCATTTACACTCGAGGAGGCTTGTATTCTAAGCTAAGCATAGTAATTCTCACATACCTCTTTAGGACTAAAGATCTTGTATTTATAGTATTCTCTTGGGGCCCTCGGGCCTGGTCCACTCCTACACGGCCCTTATTTCACTGGCAGGAACTCCGGCTCTTTTATTCGGCCCCAAAATTGGATACGGTCAATGCCGAATAGAAGTTATGTTCTGGACCGAATTGGTCCGCTCCTATTGATCCAAAATTATTTGGCTCCTACAGTTCGGTTTACCGAAAAGCGCAACATTTAATGAAATGCGGGCGTCGGAACATCGTAGGAACCTTGTTTCAAAAATATTTTGAAAGAGAGAGTTTTAAGATCTAAAATCTTTGGTCAAAATAGTTTTGGTCCAAAAATGGGGTGTAAGGTTGGGATTTGACTCTCTCCTTGCCAAAGAAATTGAATCGTTGCCCTGCATATCTTTCATCACCAAGTAAAAAATCAGTGGTGCCCAAGTCTTAAGGGCGGTCAAAAATGGGGTGTCTACAAAGATCCAATTAATTGAGGACACGTGGCCAAGTCTGGAAGGAATGTCCAGCAGTTGAAAGTGGGTTCTCTGCATGTGGGTCAACTAGAAGTGATGGGGGCAGTTTTTAGCACCAGTCATGGAGTTAGTGGGCACACTTTCATGAGGAAGCATGAGACAAAGTAGGAACCTTGCTCTGTCGACAGAAGTTTAAAACAGTTGGTGGGCATGAAATAACCTAAATAAAAGGGAGATCAACAGATAGAAATGGAGGTTTAGTGTAATTGGAAAACCTAGAAGTCAGGGAGCAGTTGCAGCAGTTAGTTAGCAGTAGGCCAGAAATTTGCAGGGGCGAGGGACGTCAACAACAACATAACTGCTTAGTTTTTAGATTCTCTTTCATCATTACGAGTAATTGAGATTGTAATTGAGGAGTAATAGTTATCATTGTAATCTGCACTTGTTAAGTGAGCATAGGTGATTTCAGTGTGAAATTATTTCTGTTTATTTAATGTACCTGATTACCATCCGTTGATATAGTACTTTCAACTTGATTTCTTGTTTGCCTTGCTGTCTTTGATCCAAAGAAGTCCTCATTCTTTTTTAAGGCATAAGAACTGAAACCATAATTGCTTGATTATTCTAGTTTAAGTTGTTCAATTTGAATTGTTGTTTGGTTGCTGTCGATCCAGCCCCAGCATAATTTTTACTAACAGTTTCAAAGAACAGCAAGTTGAAGATCTGCCATAGAAAACAGAAGAACATAATGGGTTTGAACGATACGGTTTTCAGAAGAACCTGTTAGTTTAATGATAAAGCTACTCCTAAATTATGCAATAATTATAAACTTCTTAACTTGTGTTATTCATGATGTTGTCCTATCTTTGGCCAACATCATCAGTTTTGATATCTGTATACTCTTTTTGTGGCCCATTATTGCATGATCCCACACTTCTACCCCATAACTGCCACTGTAACTACCCCTTGACTTTGAATCTTCCAACTCTGCCACATATTAAATCTACCCTGCTGACCTTCCTTTCCACCATGCTGGTGTATGTCCCTCATCATTATGAGACAAAAATCGATAAACATTGTCCACTTAACATAAGCACGATCCTTTCTAAGTGGGCCATTGAACCACAACACTTAGCCACTCACTGTAACTGCCCCCTAACTTTGAATCTTCAAACTCATTCAAATATTGAACTTTCCCTATAATTTAATCAATAAATTCAATGTGGGGTAAACTTATTAATATTTCAATTACCCTTTTTCTGGATTGTAATGACTTAAACACAGTTGTTGTCCTACATTTTACGTAACCACAATACACAACTTATTTATATTGAAAACAAAATATACATTTCGGGTTTATAATCATAAAAATGAAAACTGCTCTTTTTTTTTTTTATTTTTATTTTTATTATTTTGACACTTTTAGCAAAAAAAAAAAAAACTACTTAGTTCTTCCCAAACAGAGCCTAAGCCACTGTTTATTTACTCTATCTGCTCTTTTTTTCTTTCTTTTTTTTTCTTTGCCTTTTTTTTGTCACCTGGCCTGGAAAGAAGAGAGTGAGTTCCTATTTTTGTATTGAGTGATAAGACTGTTCCTTATAGGGATCAGAACAGCTGAGCCAGATTTTATTTATTTATTTATTTGTTTGTTTATTTATTTATTTATTTTTCCTTCTCCTTGCTTACTTTTGTAGATTGAGCTGTAACTAGAGGCTGGTTCTAGTTACAAAAATAACTTCTTTCCAAAATGGGGTAAGGTTGTATAGATGCTTGTTTCGCCGACAAAGTGCTCAGATAGGTGAACTGGCTGATCTCAAAGTATCCACATAGGAAACAGCTATTGTGGTGAGGGATTAATGCTGCCAATTTTTTTCTTACAAAGAAGAAAAGAGGACAACTCACTGGCTTTTCATGGTATACCCCACTCTCTCTGCTGTCTATTGTTCAGTATGTCACTGAAGATGACCCATTACTAAGAACATCCTGTCCTCTTTGCATGAGAAGCCCCTGTTTTTTATATGGTTTTGTTTGTTGGTGAGTGAGGGGGCTATGTTACACGGACTCTTCATAACAAATCAAATATCTGTGTCGGACACTCGACACTTGGATAGGGGTGTGGGATGTGTCAGATGCTTTCTATCGAATACTTCTTACATAATTTGTATTTAATATATGTTGGTGTGTAATTGTCTTAAAATTCTTTTGGATACTGTATGTTATATATAACACCATTTTATCTCTCGCAATATATTAAAAAAATAAAAATATGACCTTTTTTTTTTATTGTGTCTATTTACACAACCGCACCCGAGTCCATGTAACATAAGGTGGGGGAGGCCTGTGATTCTCGAAACTCGAGTCAAAATTATTGGTCTACTACCTCTTTTTACTGACAGAGACAATGCATGTTTGTTTTCCTCAGTATGGATTCCATACAAACCCTACAAACAGTGTTTGTACTTGCATACTTCTGGTACCTCAGGCAAAAAAAAAAAAAACAGTGGCTTAGCAAGAACTTAGATGGGCATTTCTCAGGTAAAATAGACCATTTCATATACACTTTCTCATGCATATATATTTACACATAGTTATGGATTATGGAAAACCCCACATGTGGATCCTTGATAAATACTGAACACTAACCATTTGATCATGATTCACAAATATTCACAATTTTTGCTCTGTTGCCCTAATACTATGTATTTAAAGTTGAAGTGTCACACCTTTTTGTATTGTATTGGAACTCTTTTCAGGTCATAGTGAAACTGCAACGACAACCGTGGATGTAGCCTTAACCACATAAATCTTTGTGTTATTATGTGTTTGATTTATATTCTTGTTCGATTTTTGTTTGTGTTTTGTGTCTCATCGATCCTAGTTAGTTGTATCAATTTTTAACAGTTTAATCTTTTACACAGCTCCCAAACCCGGAAAAATAGAAGGGTTATGAACATGAATCCTAATATAAATATGCAAGTTGATATAGATTAATGGAAGTTGGTGTCATCATCATGATGGAATCTCTGTACAAAGGAATCAATGGCCTTTTTGATTTGCTGTTACTGAACTGTAACATTTGTGTTTTTTTTTTTTACTATGTGGATGTGGACAGTGATGAAAGTGACTTTTATTCGAGTGGGATTGGAGGGACATCATTATTGAAGTTGAAGGGGATCAAAAGAAAAGGTAGTTATCAGTCTATCAATTCTGCCCCCTCAATTTAAGTGGGGTTTGGCAATTACTTTTTTAGTATTTATTTAATTTATAAAAGATCGCAAGGGTGTCATTTTTCTACACTGCTGCTTCAACACTACCGTATTGGCCCACAGGCTGCTTGGAATTAGGAGAAACATCGAAAAATAGTCGTCGTTGCTTAATGTGCGGTGTACTTGGATCCACCAACCTAGTTTTGCAGCGAACGGGCAATGACTCCGCATTGTACTCACGGTTAGTTATGTGGGGTGTATCTGCATCTGAGTTATTACCCACTGTTCGGCTAAACCGAACCTTAGGACACGTTTGCTTTGTGTGCCCAATGCATTTTCAATTCCCACATTTTCTTGGTCTTTGACAGTTGGACGAGGCCCGTCCTGGGTTCCCTTTTGTCTTCATAACATTAGGATCTTCTACTCCAAATTGTCATGGGATTGATGTTTCCCTTTGTCTCCATCCCCATCGTTGAGATTCCTCTCATATAACTCTTTCATTCGGTTCATCATCGGAAGACATGCATCCCTAGCCTCTTTGAAACCTTCCGTTGATTGTGAGGCATAGAAACACATTTCATTGTAGGAAGAACTCAATATCCCATACCGGGCCGTCTGTGTTGTAGTGCTATCAATTGAGGGTTGAGGCCATTGCTGGCCATTCTTGCTTGCAGCCCTTGTCCATCTATGCAGCACACAAGTTGGGGGAATTTGCGTTAAATTTTCAGCTTTCATAACACATATCATGTGGCAGCAAGGTAGCCCCAACGACTCAAACTTCATGCAAGAACATCTCATTGCAGCATCCATTGGACTGTGTGTTACTATCCATGATCTGTCCTTCACTCTGTACTTATGAATATAGTAGCATTTCTGACCATCCGGCAAAGGGAACACATCCTTCACATTCAACTTCCCCTCTTCTAAGATTTCATCACGGAACATTCTAAATATATTTCGGGTGAATAGCTCAGCTCCATGTCTCTCTATATCTCGCAATGGAGTAATCAATACCGGAAAAGTGTTATTTGTTTCAGCATCATCTCCAGCCTCGTTATACCTTATCCTTGCAAGTGCTCGATCATAATGCCTAACAAATTCATATAGCTTTAATTTGTGTTGGAGGAAGGGATTGAAATAAGCATTCATACTCTTCGAGCGCTGAGTGCTCTTCATCCCAGCAAAGTAATGTCCACGCATACATGCCTCAACCCACATATGAGGCTTCTCATATGTTTCCAACACCCAGCTGTTGTTTTAAAGTCCAAATTTTTCAACCATTCTCGTCCAGCCATCCTCAAACTTGCCTCATCCGTTTCCATCTCCATGCACTGCTTGAAAGCATGTGCAAAGCCATTTTTGTGAACATTTGAAACAGGATTTTTCGTAAGATGCCAATTACATACTCGATGTCTCGCGTCTGGAAATACTCTTCTGATTGCCTCTCGCATCGCCTTATCCCCATCTGTCAGTATGGACACAGGTGCTTTATTGCCTATCACCTCCATAAATGTTTCCAAAACCCACATGTATGTATCAATTGTCTCATTACCTAGCAAAGCACATGCAAATATCATGGTCGTGAAGTGGTTAATCACACCAGCCAACATGACAAAAGGTTTCTTGTACGCATTGGTTCTATAAGTTAAGTCAAATATCAACACATCACCAAACTTTGCGTAGTCAGCCCGTGATTTTGAATCTGCCCAGAACAGATTTTGTAACTTGTTACCCTTACACATATCATACTTGTAAAAAAAACGTAGGTCAACATCAAGTTCTGTACATAGGTAAACCAACGCATCCTGCGCATCACCATCCTCAACTTCTGCTCTACGTTCGGCTTGAATATGGTTGTGCAGATCCGTACGGAAGAAACCAACATTTCATAAGACCCAAATTGATTTACCACATAGTCCATGATTTGGCTAGTCTTCACATTGACGTTGTGCATAGCCATTGCTTGAGCTTTGTTAGCACTGTTTAAACCGCGATGTGACCTCAGATACATCACACAGTGTTGTTCCGCCAATTCATGGTTGTAGTCTATGACGAAGTGAGTCACAACATACTTTCCCCCTTCACCAGCCTTTGGATCGTACTGTATGTGAAATTGTGCTTTGCAACCTACTCTTGTTAGTGCCTTGGGAGCTCTACTCTTCTCAGCAACACAATGCAAGTATTTTGGTAATCTCTAACCTTCCCTTGAACACAACCATAGCCTACTATCAACCTTTCCCTATTTATTTGTGTTAAATCTGGATTTTCGTATACTAAATTCAATGGCTTTAGCATACGCGTTATAGAAAGCTTCTCCATCTTCAACCGAATCAAATTTTTGTTCCAGAACAACACATTCAACATCACCAACTATGTCATTACGATGAGCATCATCAACCATTTCTTGTTTCACATTGGCTCCGCCATCTTCAACGTTCATGTTGGTTGCTTCTTCATTGCTCGGACCAGTTTCGCAACCATGACAAGGTTCCGCCTGACTTTTATTGATCAAACAAATGTCATTTGCTTCATTTGGAACATCATAATCAACACCTTCACTTTTAACTTTCGTTGGGGCCATATTGTACATGACATTAGTACAAACAATTTCTTGATGACCAGAAAATGTTAACAAAAACACAAACATAACATTTTAACACGGTTGGATTGTTTGTGCAAACACAAACACTCAATTGAGAAAGAGAGATTAGTTGCCGATAGAGGGGTTTCCGTTTGAGTGAAGCATGGAGCGGTTGAAGTTAGGATGGGGGTTTAGTTGAAGGAAAATCACTAAAGTGAAGAGGCCAGAGAGAGAGAGAGAGACAGAGAGAGGGAGACAGCTCCATATCTCATATCTAGTTGCAGAGAACGCCTTCACTTCAGCAATGGAACCAACAGAGCCTTGTAGTTCCATTATTATTGGAAATCAACCGTTATACTATTCCCTACAGAGCTTCGTCAATGGAACCCAGCAAGAGCTTCTCGCTGTTAATGGAAATCAAGGGTTACACACTCAACCTTACACAGAGAAGAGAAGAGAGAGAGAGAGAAAGAGAGAGAGAGAGAGAGAGAGTGAGTGGGATGCAATCATGCAAATACGAGGATTAACCGGTTGCCCCAGTTTCAACTTTTTTACAATTAAACAATTCCATAGTCTTGATCAATTATTGTAATCTAATGGCTAAAAATTGGGTTGCATATGGTGTGCAACTTAGAGAGGTTGCACACTTAAATAGTGCCCTTTTTTTTATTATGTTGTGTTTCACATGGTAAAAATTCATCTAACATGAGAAGTCAATGTTGATTTATTAATTTGATTCGACACTCATTAGTGGGAAAGAGCGATAGCCTCAGCATAAAAAATACTTAAATTTGAGCGTGTATGATAATCAAAAGAAAAATTATTCATTATCGTGTGTGATATAAAATCTACACTAATAATAATCAAAAAAAAAAATTTATTCATTACCGTGTGTGACAAAAAGTCTACAAAGATGTTAGGTCACAATATCCCTATAGATTGTTTTGGCAACATAGTCAAAAGTCAATTTTTAGTTTTTAATTTGTTTTTAGTCATATCACCTATCACATTTTTTATCAATTAAAAGATAAAAAAGTTTTAAATTTTTTTTTTATTTTAATAAACTTCTCAAAACATCCCTATATAAATAAATAAATAAAAAAAATTAACTGCCGTGGGCCAACCAACTTGTATAATAATGATCATTATGGTACCATATTTCTGGATCAATTAGAACCCAGCTATATTATGCCTCATGAACAACATGCCTTAAAGGGTGAGAAGACAGATGAAAAGAGAATGTACGGTGTAATAAGGGGAATAAATTGGTAATAAAGTCACGAGGTGATTGTGGAAATTGGATTCATATCGCTTTAATATTTTAATGAAATTTATATTTTTATTCTATTATCAAACCATATTAAAAATTTTCTATCAAAATTAATAAATTATTAAGGAATTATTATTTTTACATCATTATTGTCCAAATTTTAATATAAATTTTATATATTTAAAAAAATTTCTAACAAATAATTAAAGCCGATTGTAAATTGCCACACAAAAGTCACCCAAACACATTTTTTAAACGCACACACTAAAGCCGTGTTGTGATTTCGGCCGACTCGTGCATTGCAAGCTATTTTAAGTCTCTTCTCTTTTAATAATGTCGCTTTATAGAGAGTTCTCCCTTTAATCTCTTTCTCGCGATAATATCAAAAAGCCGTCTTTCTTGAGTTATGGATTCTTAGGAGTTGGGCTCAATTGGCATGGACTTTAGCCTTTCGGTTGGGTATGGCAAGCCCAACGAATGAAGTAATGACAACGTGATGTCATTCGGCTCCGACAAACTATGCAAAAACTTCACGACAGCCTAACATGCCATTTCCGTTTCTTGTTTTCTAATATTTATTTTTTTTTAAATTGATTCAAAAAAATTGTTTGATATATTATTTTTATTTGGGAGTTTTTTTAATAAATTTATTTTCTAAGAGTTTTATTCCATTCAACTCATATTCTTTTTGACTATTCCATTAGGTCTAATTTGACATAAGAAGAACAAAATACCATTTTCATCTACTTATGTTCCATTTAGTTCACATTATTTTCTTATGTTTCAATAAGTCCTATGGGTGACATAATTACCAAAATACCCTTAATGTGAATGTTCACACCGTCAATATAAATGTTTATATCGTCAATGTGTAGGGGCCCGGCTCATGTCGATCCTCGTGGGTGCCCGGAAAAATTCGAGTCGGGCCGGGCCGGCCCACAAGCCAAAA